GGTTATGGAGGTATTCTATGCTTTCTTCTAAAAGTTTCGTTATTTTACCTTTCATGCTTAGGTCTATAATCTTTTTCACAAATAAATTTTTGGTACTGTGTGAGGTTGGGATCACGCTTATTTTCCATATGGATATCAAATTTGTCCTGGCATCATTTATTTAAAAGACCTCCTTTTCTCCACAGAACTGCAGTGGAGACTGTTGTAAAACAAGTGATCCTATGTGTATGGGTCTGTTCCTGGTCCAGCACACTGATCTATTTGTCTAAACACATGACAGCACCACATTATCTTAAGCTCTGTAGTTTTATAATAAATTTGGATATCTGGTAGTATAAGCTCTCTAGCTTTGTTCTTCAATGTTGCTTCGCTACTCTAGGACTTTTGCATTTCTCTATATATTTAAGAATCATCTTCTCTATTTCCACAAAAAAATATTTTGAGGTCTCAGTTAGGATTCATTAAATCTATAGATTGGAAACTGACATTTAACAATACTGAGTCTTTCAATCCTGAACACGGCATGCCTCTGCAGAGGAGCCTGCTAGGCAGAGGGGAAAGCGTGAATAAAGGCAAAGAGACAAGAAACAGCAAGGTTGTGTTATGAAGCTACGAAGTCATTCAACGCGGTGTGAAGTGCAAGACATACGGTGCAGAAGATGAGGCCAAAGAAAGGGCAAAGGCCAGACTATGGAGGGGTTTGTAGGTGATGTCCAAGAGTTTGGATCCAAGGCTAGTAGGAACCACTGATGGGGTTTTTTTGTTTTTGTCAACTGTGCTTTAGGTGCAAAGTGTACGGAGCAAATTAGTTTCTCATTAAACTACGGATACACAGACTGTTTCACAAGCCTGGCTGCCAGCCGCGTGGTGCGTCAACACTCTCCCCTTCTCGACCGCGGGTTCCCCATTTCATTCGTCCAGCTTTCCTGTCCCTTCCTGCCTTCTCTCTGTTTGGGGCTGGCATGCCCATTTAGCCTCGCATATATCGTTGAACTACATGTGTTATTGTTTTATAGACCTGTCTAATCTTTGGCTGAAAGGTGAACTTCAGGAGTGACTACAGTACTGAGTTAAAAGGGTGTCCAGGGGCCATACTCTCGGGGTTTCTCCAGTCTTTATCAGACCAGTTAGTCTGGTCTTCTTTTGTGAGTTAGAACTTTGTTCTACATTTCTATTCAGCTCTGTCCGGGACCCACTGTGATCCCTGTCAGAGCAGTCGGTAGTGGTTGCCCGGCACCATCTAGTTGTGCTGGACTCAGTCTGGTGGAGGCTGTGGTAGTCGCGGTCCATTAGTCCTTTGGACTGATCTTTTCCTTGTTTCTTTTTCTTCATTCTCCCTTGCTCCAGATGGGATGGAACCAGTAGACATATCTTAGATGGCCACTTAGAAGCTTTTAAGACCCCCGACGCTACTCACCAAAAAAGGATGTAGAACATTGTCTTTATGAACTGTTATACAAACTATGTTAGCCCTAAGATCACAGTCCCAAGCCCTCAGCCCAGTAACTCGGTCTCTTAGGGAGTCTAGATGTGCCTATGAAGCTTCTATAACTGCTTTGGTCAAGTTTGCTGAATTCCCCAGTATTGTACATGACCCTACCCTTCACCAAAGTTACCACTTATCTTATTGTCTAGTTAGTGTTTTTCCCTCCCCATCCTTCCCCTCCCTCGTAACCATCAAAGATTGTTTCTTTCTGTGTGGAAACCTTCTCGTGAATTTTCGTAATAGTGGTCTCATATAGTATTTGTCCTTTTGTGATTGACTTATCTCGTTCAGCATAACGCCCTCCGGGTTCACCCATGCTGTGAGATGTTTTATAGATGCATCATTGTTCTTTATCACTACGTAGTATTCCATCATGTGTATGTACCACTGTTTATCCATTCATCTGTTGATGGACACTTAAGTTGTTTCCATCTTTTTGCTATTGTGAATGCTGCTGCAATGAACATGGGTGTGCCTATGTCTACTGGTGTGGCTGCTCTTATTTCTCTAGGATATATTCCTAGGAATGGAATTGCTAGATCGTATCGTATTTCTATTTCTAGCTTAAGGAAGTGCTGTTATCATTTTCCAAAATGGTTGTACCATTTTGCATTCCCACCAGCAGCGCTTAAGAGTTCCAATCTCCCTACAGTCTCTCCAACATGTTATTTTTTTTTTTTTTATTAGTACCAGTAATGTCAGGGTGAGATGGTATCTCATTGTAGATTTGATTTGAATTTCTCTAATGGCTAATGATCACATTTCCTCATATGTCTGTTGGTCACCTGAATGTTTTCTTTGATGAAGTGTCTGTTCACATCCTTTGCCCATTTTTCAATTGGATTATTTGTCTTTTTGTTGTAGAGGTGTTGGATTTTCCTATACATTTTAGAGACTAGACCTTTGCTGGATATGTCATAGCCAAATTCTTTTTCCCAGTTTGTAGGTTCTCCTTTTACTCTTTTGCTGAAGTCTTTGATGTGCTTAAGAATTTAATTTTTAGAAGATCGCAGTTATCTAGCTCATGTTCTTGTGTTTGTGTGCTGTCAGGTATGGTTTGTATCCTATTTATGCCGTATATTACGGCCCCTGGCATCGACCCTATTTTTTCTTCCAAGATCTTTATAGTTTTTGTTTTTATATTTAGGTCTTTGATCCATTTTGAATTAGTTTTTGTGTATGGTGTGAGATATGGGTCCTGTTTCATTTTTTCACAGATAGACATCCAGTTTTGCCAGTACCATTTGTTAAAATCACTGTCTTTTCCCCATTTAATGGACTTTGGGCCTTTGTCAGAGATCACATGACTGTAGGAAGGATTTCTATCTGGGCTCTTGATTCTGTTCCATTGGTCAATGTGTCTGTTGTTGTACCAGTACCAGGCTGTTCTGACTACTGTAGCTGTAAAGTAGGTTCTGAGGTCAGGTGGTACGAAGCCTCTGACTTGGTTGTTCTTCAGTGACGCTTTACGTCTCTAGGGCCTCTTTCCTTTCCATACAAAGGCAATGACCAGGTTTTCCATCTCACTAAAGAACGTTGTTGGTATTCAGATCAGGATGCCACTGATGGTTTTAAAGCACAAGAGTGGCTGGTCAGAGAGCATTCATACAGATGACTCAAGCAACAATAGGTCTGAATGGTTTCAAGGGAGACAAAAGTGTAGACAGACATAATAGGAGAGTATTCTAATAGTTCAGGTGAGGTATGATGCTTTGAACAAGGGCGGTGGCGGTCACGATAGAGCGGGAACGGGTTCCTATTTGATTGGTAACTTCATGGGGTAGGTGGGAGGATGGTGAGAATAAAAGGAGTTGAAGATGGCTCCAAACTTTTAGCCCATGTATCTGGGTCCAGAAAACGTGAGAGGAAGAGTAGCTTTAGGAGAGATACTGGGTAGGCTGAGTTTGGGATACCCTTGGGACTCTCAGAAACCCTGGTGGTATACTGGTTAAAAGCTATGGCTGCTGGCCAAAAGTCAGCAGTTTAAATCTGCCAGGTGCTCCTTGGAAACCCTATGGGGCAGTCCTACTCTGTCCTATAGGGTTGCTATGAGTCAGAATCGACTCGATGGCAACGGGTATGGTGTAGGGGAGTCCCAGTGGATATGTCTAGCAGACAACTGGATATAAAGGTTTGAAGCCCAGGGAGAGGTCCAGGCTGGATATATGGTCCTGGGACCATAGGTAACATCATGAGAATGGATGAGATCACCTAGGGACTGCGTATGGGTTGAGAGGCACAAATATTATACATCCTTCCCTCATCTTCCCTCCTATCCAAACTTAACTTTTTCTAGCTCTTTGTCTTCTTCAAGACAGTACTGCTCACTGCTATTTCTTAGGCTAAAACTATGTAAGAAATACTGTGCTGACTGGTATGATATTTATTACCACAAATCTCAAAGGGGAATTCAATACAGCCAGGAATGCCTTCTAAAGCTCCTGTCAGAGACCATGTTTTCAGTTTCCCCTCTTCCTCGAACATTCCCTCTTCACCCTCCACTATCAGCTGAACTTCACCTTATACCTCATTTTTTTTAAAGGCAACTTGACTGAGTACCTTATCTTTGTACCATCAAATATACCGGGCTCTGTGCATCTGTAACCACCCATTCTGTCTTCCTTCTTTTAACCACAGAAGAAATGTCTCCATTCCAATTTATGTCCAACTCCTCCAACTGTGCTCTGGATTTCATCTCTTCTCCCTTTTTCATTCATGTAATTAATCCCCTTTATCTCCGTCATCATCAATTTCTCCTTCACTACTCAATCAGTTGACCCATCAATAACATTAAGTCCAAGGAACACCTAAAACCATATTCCTGGAGATAAGACTATGAACAAACACATACAAAATATTTTCCATTCCTATTTGTCTCTCATTCTCCTAATGGATTCTTAAACATCTGTGCTCACTTTGCCCTTACAGCTCTGACACTTTGAATTATAAGGATAAATAAAATCTAAAAAAAAAAAAAAATTTAAATAAAAAATTTCTCTGGTGCCAAAAAAGACAGAGACGTTTTCCCCCTCCCTTTTCTTTAGAAAATTTGATTTGTAAATGTTTTCTCTATCTCTTTGAGAAACATGTGAATCCTTAAAAAAGCTAAATAATCCTCTTGCCAGTTTTGATCCTAAGGTCTTTCTTGGGGGCCTGGAGCCATTTCTTTGAAATATGAACATCAAGGAGTATGGCACCAGGTCTCCCTGTCCCTGCTTAGCTCCAAGATATAACTTCCTATTGTTGAAAGGATACAAAAACTTTTTTTTCTTTTCCTTCTGGGTAAGACAATTAACAGGTATGTAACGGACTGTATGTATCCGGCTACATAAAATGGTGAAATTTTTGTCTTTGTAAACTCTTTAGCAGATTGCCTGTGATGCGCATCACAGTATGACTTAACGTTTATTCAATAATAAAACTGCTACAGTCTTTTATATAATTTGTAAGAGGAGATGTGGGGGTTGACAGATTTTAATTTTCCAAACGGGGTCCTCCTGTTTAGAACACTTACTGCAGGCTGATATTCTCTATTCCAGCTCCACGCTTATTTGAGGCAGTAAGAGAAAAGTGGACTAACTCAGAACTGAAGCCACTCCCAAAGTCCACCTTTCAGGCCTAGAAAACAAACAGTAACACATGTGAGCAATGTGTTTCTTAGTTCAATCAAGTATAGAAACCAAATGGACAACACCTGCCCAAAAGCGGCGGCCAAGGCAGGAAGGGACAGGAAACCGGGGCAGGAAAACTGGACGAATGGACATGGAGAACCCAGAGTGGAAAGGGGGAGAGTGCTCACATATTGTGGGGATTGCAACTAATGTCACAAAACAATTGGTGTATAAAATTTTTCAATGAAAAATTCATTTGCGCTGTAAACTTCCATCTAAAACACAATAAAACTTTAAAAAAGAGCGAGAGTGCGTTGAAAGAGCGCGGAGGTTTGGATTTAGACGACCACAGGTATACACTGTTTTTCCTTCTACCAGCATTCTAGCCTTTGGTCAAGTTACTTAACTCTCTGAACCCCGAATACCTCCTCTATACAACGGGGATAACAACACTTCACAGGTGAGGTAAAGTATCTGACACACACAGGAGGCTCTCAGCAAAGAAATGGATTCCTCTAACACTAAACGCCTTTCTGTTACCCGTTTCCTCCTGGGTATCTCTGTCAAATCCCACTTCGGGTCGCCAGGAGTCGGAGTCAACTCAACGGCAACCGGTTTTTCGCTAAACACGTAATGATGCGGCAACGGTTACCTACAGCACGAAATCGCCGCGCAGACCTTTTGAATTTAAAAGGTTTTCGTAGATGAAGTAACGTAAAGTTAATAGACCTCGCAGCTTAAAGAGAAAGGGGGAAACCAGGCTGCGGGGGTCCCCTATGCAAATAAAGAATCACAAATGGAGACCAGAGACGCCGGCCACTGCCGCACTTCCCTAGCTGGCGCCCCAGGATGCGCCGCCACACGGCCGGGCGGGGGCGGCCATTTGCATGTGCGAAAAATCGGGAAAAAGGGGAAGCACCTATCGAAAACCCCGGCCCACCTCCCCCCAGCCGCCCGGCCCGCCCCAAAATGCTACTGAGCCGGCCTCCCCACGTCACCACTCCCTCCCACCTGCTTGTGAACTTTAAACGACGCTCCGCAGAACAACCTGGAGGAGGGGGATTTCTCAACCGGCCTGCAGCCTCCGCACGCGCGGGACCGGCACCTTCGGCTCCCGGCGTTCCCTGCGCTCCCCAGGATCCAGCGCTCCCGGCTCCCTAGACTGGCGTCGCCGCCCCGAGGCCACTCCGTGGGCGCATGCGCGGGGGCGGGGCGGGCGCGT